TATATATATATATATATATATATATATATATATATATTGTAACATCCCAAAAATTATTGACATAAAAGTTCATTTTAATTATAGAAGAAGTATCAATAATTACTTGTTTCAAAACCAATACATCACAATCAGAGTATAAATCCCAGAACAAAGTCAAATGCAGAACATAAGGTGTGTGTCATGCAGTCAACCCGAGCCCTTCCTTTTTGAAAACCGAAGTACCTGAAACATAAACTGAAAACTGTAAGCACAAAGCTTAGTGAGTTCCCCAAGATACCACATACCACACATACACAAACACATACTGGGCCTCCGCCCTACATGGGGCTCGCCCGGTCTCGAGTCCCACTCGGCCTTGGGCCCCGCCAGGCATCGAGCCCCGCTCGGATTACAGATCTGTCATTCACCAGGCCCCGTCTGTCATTGGGCCCCACCCGATACACATATAATCATATAAACATATAACCTTACTAACACATGCAATAATCAAAAAGACTACAACATACCAAACAGTCATCGAGCCCCGCTCGGCATCGGGCCTCGCCAAGTAAGCATAAAACAGATACCCATAACCAGCATACACTATACTCCTCAGGCCCTGCCTGGCATCGGGCCTTACTCGGTAAGCATACCATTCCATAACGCACGCAAGAGTTACACAAACATCTAGTATTCTAACATAAAAACTATTGGCCGATATTGGTGCCTTCGACCCGCTAAACCCAGTGAGGAGACTCACCTCGCACTACCAAATCACACAGACGATCCCTGACTGCTGGCTGACATATCCTCGAACTGTCAACATCAAAACAACACCCAATTAACAATTGGGTTCCAATCCATAATCCAAAAATCCATACTTGGGGTAAAAAGACCATTTTACCCCTAACCTAGCTTGGTCCAAGACTGAGGCCCAAACTTGAAATCTAAAAGGCCCAAAACCAATTAATCACTCAAGGCCCATACTTGGCCCAATTTTCCAAATTGGGACCAAACCCCTTACATGGGCCTTACCCTAATTCCCAAACATACCCCAAGATAACTCATGGTCAACCCTGATCAAACTCATGTCAAAGTCAAAGTCAACAACCCATGTTGACCAAACACGCCGTGTTGCCCCTTGGACACGTCGTGTTCTTCCATCATCCAGATAATCAGGAAATCCCTAGCCAACACTCCATGTTGGCTTGCAAACACGTCGTGTTTGCCTGAGATTCAAAAGCTCAACCATTAAGCACTTAATCCATAAAGGCATGGCCCCAAAACATAGATCTGACCTCCTTGAGCTGGATTATCACGTAAAGTTGCCAACTTTACGTCCTTATATGACTAAATGAAGCTCTTAAGCTAAAAAGGGACTTAATAGAGGGCTTAAAACATGCATGACACCATTCTTCACATAAACCTTGCACCTTTATGCTCAAGGATACCAAAACAAACTCAGATCTGAAAGAACAGTCCCTTAAACAACCCAACTCATTCATAGACCCGAAAAGGAGACCAAAATCATAATAACTAGCCATAAAGAGATCTAATCAAACGCAAGTCAAGATACAAACTTGATACCTCAAAGAGACTGTAAGAAGTGGAGAGATTCAGGATCTATGATCTTCCTTCCAAGCTAAGCATCTTCAATCTTCAAAGCTTCCTTTAGAAATGAGAAAAATAACCACAAGAATCCACTCAATGCTCAAGAACACCACCAAGAAAGCTTAAGGAATGAATTAGGGTTTGAGTGGCTATGGAGGCTGGTAAGGAGGTCATCCATGAGAACTTAAGGCCTTTAAATAGGGTGTAACACCCTAAAATTAGGGTTTCCTTCCCAGCTGCCAACACACCGTGTTAAGATACCACAACACGCCGTGTTGGTCCATTAATCTTCGCATTTCTTCAAATCTAGACACGTCGTGTCCAACCCTAAAAGGGGCTTTACTCCCAATAATTCTCTTCAACATTCCGGGTGTCATATATATATATATATATATATATATATATATATATATATATATATATATATATATATATATAGAGAGAGAGAGAGAGGGGGGAAAGAGGTAGGTTCAGTTGAGATTAAAAATAAAATAGAGCTCTTGAGATTCAACCTCAGCCACATATTTCACATCTGTCGCTCTAACCCTTCGGCATACCAGCGCGACGGGTCTGTTATAATCATAAATGATTATATAGCGCCACCCGTTCCTTTCTCCTCCGCCACCATCCCCACCACCACTACCACCACCTCCGACACCAGTCGGCCCCACCACTGTTACATCTGTTACTTATGCCACCGCCACCTCTTCTCCCACCAACTGTCATAATCATATATGATTACTCAATCTGTGAACAGACATATATGTATAATCATTTATGATTATACATATATGTATAATCATTTATGATTATACATATATGTATAAACATATATAATCATATATGATTATACCTCTTTGTCATATAATCATTTATGATTAGGCATACCTCGCTGTTGCCGGTACGCTGGAGCGTTAGAGCCGCAAATGAGAAATATGTGGCTGAGGTTGAATCTTAAGATCTCTATTTTTTTAATCTCAAGTGAGTCGTCCTATATATATATATATATATATATATATATATATATATATATATATATATATATATATATATATATATATATATATATATATATATATATATATATATAATAACTTTTATCCAATTTACCCTTAAAAAAGAAATTATTAGAAGTACCAAAACATATTTCAATTTCAAAATCATCAACCTCTACATTGTCAATCAGTTCATCCTCGTCAATAGTGACAACATGTTGCTCCCATTAGCTTAGATTATTTTGTAAGTATTCATTGTAGAAATCTTTATTAAAATATCCAAGAAAAGATCGAAGTCATATGTGTTTTGTGTTTAATTACATGCGTCTACAACATTTACAACTTTGGCAACATCTACAACTAGTTTGTCTTGTACTTGATGTGATGGAAGTGAGTCATCATTTACAATACCGTTGAGGCATTGATATGTTTCCTTCCTCCAAACTTAGTGAAATTCCAATCGTGATGAATCTTCATAGTAAAAAGTTTATAGAAGCCAACTGTAAAAACAAAAAGAATCAAAACAGATAACAATGATGCTAACAAAATGTAATACGAAGAAATATTAACCCTAAACAAGTTGCATGTATGTATAACAAATTAACAATGGTCAACAATGACCTAGAGTATATGTTTATTTAGACTCTAGGTGAGGCCAAATTAAACACAGCCTTACCGCCAAATCATTGGGCTTTACTATATTAGTAAGTCCAAATTGTTTTGAAAGTAAAATTGATATTTCAATTTTCAAAATCACACAAAAGGTATTTAATAATAATAAATTTTAGTTTATATAAAAGCATTTTTAATAGAAACTATTTTTATGATAACTATTTGCTTAACTGTTTATTGTCATTTAATATTATTAGAGCATATTAGATTTTGTGTTTTGTTTTTTCATTGACCATTCAACGAATTGTCAATTTATTTTTAGTCAATGCATACCTAATTTTTTATCATTCGATTTTTTTATCTTTGTAATTATATTTAAATTCTAAGTATCTATTATTATTTTTTACTAATAAAATAATTTTATTAAATATTAAATAGATTATATTTTTTTAGTAATTTAATTAAAGTCTATTAGTATTTTTTATTAAAATGTTTTATATTAATATATAGTGTGTAAAAAATAACAAATTAAATGAGAAGATTTTATAAAATATATAAGTAAGATGAAAATAAACAATTTAGATTTATAAAAAAATATCAAGAAAAATATTATTATTAAAAATTTAATTTAGTTAAAAAATTAATATAGAAAGAACGTGAAAAAGAATTTTAAATCTTGGCCATTAAAAATGTTATAAGGCCCCAAAAACATATTTTAAGACCGTGACATCAATCATAGGTTATCTTTATAATAATTAAAACTGAAATAATAAGTCTATCTTAGACACCTCATTACACATAATATAAATACTAAAGATTTGATCTTCACGTCACAATTTGGACTTTTCATTCTTATCTAAAATAAAGATCTTAAATCTTTATATTTTAATAAACTTGACCTATAGATTACTTGTATTTAATATATTAGTGGTACATTTATTTTGCAATCAGTTTTCGAATCATTAACTTAATATAAGGAATACGTTAGTTAATTAATAAGTTAAAGTGAAAAAATATTATTATTTTATATAAAAAAATTATTTTATTTTCTAATCATGCTTAATATAAAGCTTAATATAAATCCTTAGAAAAAATCAACCTAATATTTTTCTATATGTGAAAAGTCATTATCTTATTATTTGTATAATAAAAATATTTTATGTTTTGATAATGTATAAAATAATACATTATAACCAACAAGCCCTTAAACACCGATTGCCTAGCATTACATGGCTTTTAAAAAAATGACATGACCTTATTAATGTTGTTTATTAATCTTACGTGAGTATATCCGCGAATAGCCATTGGTAGATTAGGGGTTTAGAAATTGTTATTGTTTTTTGTAGTGGCACTTTGAAAGATTAGGTTGAGTTTTTTAAAGTCATGTAGTCTAGGTAACCCTAACTCGTGCCAAAAGGTATGACGGTTACGAAACATTATTTTTGGCTTGAATAAAACATCAAATGATTTTATTATACAAAATAATACTACCAAACTGTTTATTTTTTGTGTATTTAGGATAGGGTTACTAACATAGAAGCACAAGAATGTTTTCCATTTGGTTTTAAAAGGTCCTTCAACTAATTTTTGTACTTCTGACCTCACTAAAATGACAAATTACCTGCTAAAATTAGGATTTCTTCATTTTATTACCGGTTACCCGGTTGGTCAACGAAAGTCATACGTGACGTGGTCTATGGAATCCAGTTGGGTGTCCAATCAACGTACTACATAAGCTTTGTACGGGTTCAATAGATCTACTCTCACAAATTCTTTACCCTCCGACGAACACCAACCCTTTCGATGATGTCTTCCTCCTCAGAATTCTATAACATTATCTCCATTTACCGTGTTGAAGTGAATCCCCCTGCTTGTGGCGCGATCAACCTGTGTCGAAGCTCAGAGAAGCATGGAAGCCTAACAACCCAGCTCGTCGCTTCTACAATTGCGCAAAATCAATGGTAAGTTATCCTTCATTTACAGTCGGTAGCTTTTACCCCTAAAGTTATGATTTTTCTACTGCAAACCCCCATTTCGATCGACAAAAACCCAATTTACAATGAGAAAACCCTAAATTATGAACAATAAACCCTTTTTCTGGTGTGTGGGTTTGTTTTGTAGATATCCAACAACAGTTGCAGCTTCTTCCAGTGGCTTGAACCAACATTACCTAAACACTACAAGGATACAATATGGAACATGAAACTTAGGATCGACGACCTTTTGGTTAGGAATGCTCAAGTTGTTGAGCTGCAGAAAAAAGTTGAGAAGCACAAGCTTCTTAGGAAAGCTGAGAAGGACTTGTTGAGGTTAGGATCCAAGAACTACTCATTGAGATTCAAAGTCTGAAGCAGATGTTGAAAAAGGTTGTTTTGATTGCTCTGGTATGTTTGTTGTTTGTGGTCATGTACTTTAAGCTAGTCTATGTGATGTAGGATATTGGGTCATGGTGCATATGGGAATGCTATTTTGGGTGATTAGGTATTTGGCAATCAAGTTAAAGTTGTGTTAGGTGATGCGGGGTGTATAGGGTTATTTGATGGTGTAATGGTGGTATAGGGAATGATGATCCTCTTGAGAATTCAGTATAGGCATTGTACTTTAGCCCCATTACATATGGTTATGTAACACCTTTTGTATGGAGTAATTATATAATAGAAAGCTTGGATTTATGTTTCAGTTTTAACATTCCTTTATGGGTTCATTTATAGTATATTGCATGAATTGTTATATGGTCCCCAAAGAATGCAAGTTATATGGTCCACTAATTATATAGTATCATGCATGATTTGTTACATGGTACACAAATAATTTTATAAGTAGTATGGTCCACCTAACAATTCCAAGAGGGACAAGAAACAAGGGACCATCTAATGCACATGCATAAATAGGACACAAGGGACAATGGATTCCATAAGAGAAATCATTAATAACCAAAGTCAGTGCAAAGCATTATATAACCATTACGACATAGAATCTTTAAAAGCAAACATCCTAACATGTTTTTACTATAAATGAAAGTACAAAGCATTACATACAAAATCCTACATAATAAAGGACACATCCCATGCATTTCCCCATCCAAAAACTACTTTAAGTTGACAGGTTTTTCTAAAGTGTTCCCCTCTCCATTCTTTCCTATAACTTGGGTTGCCAATTTTTTTTCTTGACGATCCTTTCACTCTTTTTCCTCCTCTTAACCTGGGGAAGTACAACATTACCCGTCTCCCTTGTCACTTGTGTAGTCCCACTCTCCCTAGTACCTTGTGTATCCCCACCTCCCATTCCTGTCTAATTTCCATTTGCCACTTCTCCAGTCTTTTTCTTCACATTTTCACCCTATTATACACACATAATATACACTTAAATGACACATATTGATTAACAAATAATAAAATAATAAATAAGAAGTTGTATTTACTTTTTTGTCTTAGTCCTCTTAACCCTACTATCTTGTGTATCCCCACCTTCCATTCATGTACCGCTTCCACTTACCACTTCTGCAGTCTTTTTCTCCATTTTTTGAGCCTGTTATATTCACATAATATACAGTTAAATGACATATACTTAATAACGAATAAAAATAAGAAATAAAAAGTGGTAATTACCTTTATAGTCTTAGTCCTGTTAACCCTAGTTGGTAACTTCACTGGTCTTGGCCTATTAAGAGTTGGGCAGGTCTTCTTATATGTCCTTACACTTTGCACAAACTACATGATACTTCTTAGCCTTCTTAGAAACTCTGTGTTTTCCACCCTTTTCACTAACATATTTATCTCTTTTTGTTTTTGGCCTACCGGGCATCCTTCAATTCTTGGGGAGTAAAGGTGGAAATTAGTTTCACGCCACATCTTGCTTCCATTCAAAGGCCACATCTTGCTTTCATTCATTGGACAGATTTTGTACTGGTAGATCTTCATATACATTTCTCTACAAAAATAAGGATCCACGTATTTCTCCACATCTCTATTAAGGTAGCTAATGGCAGGCACAGAATGAACACACCCATAACCATTACTTTGCCACATCCTACATGAACATGTCCTCTTGTCTAGATCAACATCAAATGCCTCACTTCCTAACCTAGTCTCAAACCGGTTGAGTCCACTTGGCAATACCTCCCAAAACCTTTGATTAACCTTTAACTCATTCAACCTCAGCCCTATTTCAGGTGAAACATCACTTAACCATCCATTAAGTTTTGTTGTGAACAATTTGTTCGTCATATACATTCTCAATTCTTCAAGCATTGTGATGATAGATTTCTTCCTGGCTTCAACTATGATTACATTTAAACTTTCATATCCTCCATTCTCGACACTAGCACAACATCTACCAACTTGATAGTAAGCTCTTGACCATGTTTTAGGGTCCTTCTCCATCAAGTAGTTAGTTGCCTCTAGACTCATAAGCTCAACATCCTTCATTATTTCCTTGAAATATTGTTATGTTGTTGCATTACATGCAGCCTAAAACAAATTAACAAACTCTACCCCTAGAAACTTTTTATTGAATTTGGCCATAATGTGCCTTGCACATTGCCTATGCTCAACATGGGGTAGCAATTCCTTGACAGCTTCCATACGACCATATACCAACATACAAGTAGTTAGATATGAATTGGGTAATATATTTTTTGAAAGAGAAGTACTAAAATGTTTTCTTACATTGAGTTCGTCTGAAATAAGAGTGAAACATATCCCATACCAACATTGAGATCATCACTTAACAATGGAAGAAACCATTTCCAATTTCCTTGTTTTCAACACATACTAATGCCCAGGAAATTGAGTATATTTGGTCCCTAACATCTTTCCCCACAACACATAGCAACTTGCCAGTAACATACCCTTTCAATAAGTGACCATCAATTCCAATCACCTTCATTCACCCTTCTAACCACCCCTTCTTTAGACCATCAAAACAAATATAATACTTACTAAAGTGATTAGTTCCATCTGGCATTATAAGTACATCCATGCTGACTGTTGAACCAGGGTTGGATCTTCTGGTTTGCTCTCCATAAGACCAGAGCTTAGCATAATGCTCAATACGGGTAGCTTCAATAATATTCATAGCATTCTATTTGGCCCTTCTGCATTGACTAATATTGACTTCAATACCAAATTTCTTGATGACCTCCAGTCTTAGTTTCCTAATTGTCTGTTTTTGTCTATGAAAAATCTCATTGGTGTAGTGGCTATCAATCCATCGGTAATTGACAATTGAACCCGGTTTATAGTTCCTAACACATTAATGCTCACTTTTTAGATATTTGATTTGAAAACTATGTTCTGTACTCATCCAACTTGCCCATAGCCTGAAAGTACAAGCACATTTACAACACAATATTAGAAGCCTCTTACTGTCATTATTTTCAAACCATAGTTGATAGCCATTCTTAACAACATAATTACATAACATGCTCTTAAGCTGTTTTGGATTCTCAAATCTTATGCCTACAATTACTACTTGCTTATTCTAGTGTACCTGAGGATTGAAGATAGGATGTTCCTCAAGAACATCATTATCCAATTTCTCACTATTATTCATTTCTTCAACCTTTTTCTGTTTTCCACCTTCTAGGCATAACTTGTTAAGACACTCATCATCATTGGTCTTGTTAAGAGGGGTATACTCCTCCCAATTGATTTCATCTTCCAAACCAGCATAAAACATATAGGTTGGTTCAGGATCAGGAGTTCCTTGTGAAGGTTCTTTGTCATCCCCCTGGATCACTGAACTACTTTTATCACTTTCTTCATCCAACCAGTCCTCAAATCCTTCACCAATATGATCTAAATACATGTCTATTGGCCTTTCTGGTGCTTGATAAGCAACATCGATAAAAAAAAGCATAATCCATTTCGTTGGCTATTACCCTAAGACCATTTGCCATAGTTTGATCATGTGCTGACTAATAAAGTTTCTGTAATGACCCAAATTTCCAAATAAAATTTTCATTTTTAATTAATCAAAACATTCCCATAAAATATGAAATATCAATGACAATTGTTTTCAAATCCATAACATCAACATTTTATTTCAAATATCAAAGTGTCCCATCAAATCAAATGTCGGAGAGTGCATGTCGTGCCATCAAGCCTTGCCCTTGCCCTTAGGCTCAGAAGTACCTGAAACAAATCAACAAACTGTAAGCTAATGCTTAGTGAGTTCCCCAGAGCATACCACACACAATCCACATAATCACATAAACCATATTAGCTATGAAAGCTACATAAACAACATAAGCCATGCATACAACATATAGGGATGTCGTGGGCTCCTCCCAAGGTCTTACTCCAGGATATCATGGGCTCCTCCATATGGTCTTACACCTAAGTGCCATGGGCTCCCCCCATGGTCTTTAATTGGAAAGCCATAGGCTCCCCACATGGTCTGACATCCAAGTGTCATCGGATCCCCCCATGGTCTTTACCTGAAAAGCCATGGGCTCCCCCACATGGTCTTACATCCAAGCGCCATGGGCTCCTCCCATGGTCTTTCATGCAAGTATACCACATATACAACTAGCATACCACCTAGCATATAACCAACTAACATGGCACATTACACTACATCAACTAGTGTACCACATATCATAAAATGGGCCGGCATTAGTGCCTTAGACCCATTGGTATGGTGAGGAGATTCACCTCTGTCTGATGAATCCGAAAGTTGCTCTCCTAACAGTCTGTCACCACCCGTGCTGAACAATAATACCATTAACCCAAGGTTAGGGTTGAATATAATCCAATTAGAGAACCCGATCCCCAAGTCCTTTCTTAATGGCCCAAAAGTCCTCCATTGCTAATGGGCCCAAAGTCCATGTCCAAAATCATTAATGGGCCTCATGGCCCAATAAGGCCCAACCATAGCAACCATGGCCCAAAGCAGATAAATTGGCCCACTAATTCAAAACATGACCAGACCCAATGACTGATTAAGGCCTAAAGGGCTTACAAGGCCAAAATAAGTCCAAGCCCATCTGAGTGTGTACGCCCTGCGTACCACTCCTGTACGCTCAGCGTACTGGGTCCCTAAGCTGTACGCGCTGCATACGTTAATCTACGCCCAGCATACAAACAGATTAAGCACGTCTTCTATTAAGTGCTTAATACTCGCTGTTCTAACGTCCAATCATTAGATCTGAGTCCATTTAGACGTCCTAAGGCATAAAGTTGGCAACTTTATGCCTTTGCATGTTCCATATGCTCCCAACAACCCATTAAGACATTTCCAAGAGTCCTAATCCATGCATGAGGTCAAAACATCCATCAAGACACCATTTTTATGGCATGAATGAGTCATGGGACCTTAGATGTACTCTTCCTAAGCTCTGGAGTTGCTCCAACTCTCTAGAGATGATCCATGAAGACAAAAAGGGACAATATAGAAACCCTAACTAGATCTAATGAATAAGATAGCAAGATCAAGACTTTATACCTCTAGAAGCTCTTCAAGGTGAACTAGATGCAGATTTTTGAAGCCCAATGCCACTCCAAGCTTGCTTAGCAATTCCTTCTTCTTGAATGAACTCCAAAATGGCCACAAATACACTCCTTAAGCTCAAAAACACTCTCACAAGGGATCTTTGGTGTAAAGGGGCGAAATGAGGCAGATTAGGGTTTGGCCCAAGAGGCTTAAGGGTGTTTAAATAGGTGTCAAGTCCGAGAATTATGGTTTTGGCCCTCTGTCGCGTATGCCCCATGTACCTAGATGTACGCCCCGCGTACGCGACCACCCTCTGCGTTCATGCATCCTTAGTACGCTAAGCGTACTCCTGGAGTACGCCCCGCATACTAAGGGACCTTTTATGTCATCTTTTCCATTTCAAGGGTCTAAGGAGTAATACCTGATTTGGAGTGTTACAACTCTCCCCTACTTGGACTAGACTTCGTCCTCGAAGTATGCCGATGCAAATAGATTCGGGTAATGCTCCCGCATCTCATCCTCCGACTCCCATGTCCATTCGGAGCCTCTTCGGTGCTGCCATTGCACCTTCACTATCTTCACCTACTTTTTCCGAAGAACCTTAGTCTTCCTATCCATAATCGCAACGGGCCTCTCAATGTAATTCAGACTCTCATCCACCTGAATTTTGTCCAAGGAAATAATTGCGGCCTCGTCTGTAACATACTTCTGAAGCTGAGACACATGGAAGGTGTTTGTAGCTGGCTGAGCTCGTCCGGTAGATCCAAGTGGTAAGCCTCCTTGCCTACCCGGACTGGGATTCTAAACGGTCCAATATATCGGGGCCCTAGCTTACCCCTCTTTTGAAACCTAATGACACCCTTCTATGGTGACACTTTCAGAAAAACAAAATCCCCCACCTGAAACTCGAGATCCGATTGGCGCCGGTCAGTATAGCTTTTCTGACGACTCTATGTGACTCGTAGCCGGCCGTGCACCTGCTGAATCAACTCGGTAGTCTTGAGCACCACTTCGGTGCTCTCCATGACTCGGTGCCCTACCTCACCCCGGCAAACAGGGGTCCTATGCCTCCGACCATATAACATCTCAAACGGGGGTCGGTCGATACTAGCATGATAACTATTGTTATATGAAAACTCAGCTAGTGGGAGGTATGTATCCCAACTCCCTCCAAAATCCAACACGCATTCCCGAAGCATATCCTCGAGTGTCTGGATCGTCCTCTCACTCTGGCCATCTGTCTAGGGGTGGTACGCCATGCTGAAATGTAACTGAGTGCCCAGTTCCTCGTGGAACTTCCTCCAAAATCTAGATGTAAATCGAACATCCCGGTCAAAGATTACTGACACTGGCACCCCGTGCCTAGCCACCACCTCTCGCACATAAACATCCGCTAATTTCTCAGCGGAGATGCTCTCAGAGATCGGAATAAAGTGGGCACTCTTCGTCAATCTATCCACAATAACCCATATGGCATCCACACCCCTCGTCGTCCTTGGTAACTTCGTGATGAAGTCCATAGTGATCTCTTCCCATTTCCACATAGGAATGGGTAACGGCTGAACCTTGTCGTGAGGTCTCTGATGCTCGGCCTTGACCTTCCTGCAGGTCAAGCACCACACCACGAACCATGCAATCACTGGCTTCATGCAGGGCCACCAGTAAATCAACCTTAGATCCCTGTACATCTTCGTGGCCCCCGGGTGAATAGAGAACTTGGATTTGTGTGCCTCTTCCAAAATCTTCTGCCTCACACCCCCGGTCATCGGTACCCACACCCGACCATATTGTGTCAAAAGACCTCGACTATGCCGAACAAACAAAGGATACTGACCACGAATCCGCTCCATCTTCCAATTCTCTTTCTTCACACCCTCCACCTGAGCTTGCTTGATCATATCCAACAATGGAGAGATCACCGTCATCCTCAAACAAATAATCCTGATCGGTGCACTTGCCGCTTTGCGGCTCAAAGCATTGGCCACCAGATTGGCCTTCACCGGGTGGTACAAGATCTCACAATCATAATCTTTCAGTACATCCAACCACCTCTTATGCCGTATGTTCAGGTTCTGCTGATCCATCAAATACTTCATATTTTTGTGGTCAGTAAAGATGGTGCACCAAACTCCATACAAGTAATGCCTCCAAATCTTGAGGGCGAACACCACAACCCCCAGCTCCAGGTCATGAGTGGGGTAGTTTGCCTCATGAGGCTTCAGCTGCCTCAAGGCATACGCGATCACATGCCCCCTCTGCATCAGAACAACGCCTAACCCTGTGATAGACGCATCACAATACACCACCAAATCATCCAACTCGTCGGGTAGCGCTAAAATCAGGGCCTCACATAACCTCTGCCTCAAGATCTCGAAGGCCAACTGCTGGTTCGAGCCCCACCGAAATGTCACATTCTTCTTGGTCAAGCGGGTCAAAGGCACCGTAATCTTGGAGAAATCCTGGATGAATGTTAGATAGTACCCTGCTAGACCCAAGAAGCTACGTATCTCTGATGCATTTTTTGGCACTTCCCACCGCATCACCGCCTCAATCTTGGCTGGATCAACCAAAATACCCTCTTGGTTGATGATGTGTCCCAAAAACTGCACCTCTCTCAACCAGAAATCGCACATTGAGAACTTGGCATAAAGCCTTTCCGTCCTTAGTGTCTCCAATACCTCCCTCAGATGCTGCTCGTGCTGCTCCTTGGTCTTAGAATAGACCAAGATATCATTGATTAACACGATCATCGATTGATCCAACATCGGCCTACACACCATGTTCATGAGATCCATGAACATTGATGGGGCATTGGTGAGCCTGAATGGCATCACCACAAACTCATAGTGCCCGTACCGAGTCTTGAAAGTTGTCTTCGGTATATCCTCATCCCAAATCCTCATTTGATGGTACCCCGACCGATGATCAATCTTGGAAAACCAAGACGTACCCTGCATTTGATAGAACAAATCATCGATCCTCTGAAGAGGATAACGGTTTTTTACCCTTAGCTTGTTCATCTCTCGATAATCATCACACATCATATGTGACCCGTCCTTCTTTTTCACGAACAGGGTCGGTGCTCCCCACGTGGAACTGCTCGGACGGATAAACCATCGGTCTAGTAGCTCCTGAAGCTGCATAGATAGCTCATGCATCTTGGGCGGAGCTACCCGGTACGCTGCCTTGGTTATCGGAGTGGCACCCGACACCAAATCAATGCAAAAATCCACATCCCAAAACTCCTGTACAACCGGTACACTGCCCAAATCCCGAGATATATGCTAAAAATCCCGAACAACCCTGCTGAAGAAGTCTCCTAGCCCTCGCAGCTGAACAGAGGGTTGGCCCCTACGAGGCCCTCTCTCCATGAATAACTAATTCTCCCCCACTTGGGGATCTAACCCTCGCCAGCTGGCGCTCGC